TGAGGAAGGAGGCTTGCTCTTGTTCTTCAAGGAAAAATGGAAACGAAACATCTACTGTTGTTCACAGATGATAGGGTCTCCGTCTCCCAATAATGTTATCTTCACACAGGAAGCACTGGCTCCATGGTGTTCTTCGTTTGCAATCCTGTCTGCTGCAGGCCCGCCCTTGAGCCCGGCCACCATGTGAGAAAGCGTCTTTTCTATCACAGTGCTTCGCTTCCTTTCTGTCAATCTTGTCAGAAGTGTTTCTCTGACAAGTTCCTGCTTTGGCCTGGTGGCTTAGTCTTTGCTGCTGTTGTTGTTTTGTCAGTCATGGGGCTTGAACTCAGGCCTGGGTGCTGTCCCTAAGCAAGCACTCTACCACTTTGAGCTACAACCACTTCTGGTTTTCTGGTGGTTCATTGGAGATACGAGTCTCATTTACTTTCCTATCTGGGCTGGTTTCGAATCATGATCCTCAGATCTCAGCCTCCTGAGTAGCTAGGATTACAGGTGTGAGCTACCGGCACCCAGCAGCCCCAGCTAATTCTACCAGTGGCTGCACTGGCCAGCAACCCATGCAGAAGTGGCCTGGTGGCTCCAGTCTGGGCTCTCAAACCAAGACCCCCATATCTGCCTCCCAGGTGGCTAGGGTTACAAGCTTAACCATTATGCCCAGTGTAGGCTTAAAGTGCTATCAAGGCTCATGGAATTCAGAGGTATACTTCCTATGTACTATCATTATTATTGTTATTTATCAGAAGTGGGGCTTGAACTCTGGGCCTGGGCACTGTCCCTGAGCTCTTTAGCTCAGGGCAAGTGCTCTACCACTTAAGGTTTTTCTGGTGGTTAATTGGAGATAAGAGTCTCATTGGCTTTCCTGCCCAGGCTGGCTTTGAACTGCAATCCTCAGATCTTAGCCTCCTGAACAGCTAGGATTACAGGCGTGAGCCACCTGTGCCTGGCTTCCTATGTATTATTAAGGAGAAGGAGACAATAGATAACGTGTAGATAGACCTAATAGACCTAAGAGGGCCCACTACCATAGGAACATCTGTCTCCTTGGACACAAGGTCAGACCAAGGTCTTCTTACTCCCAGATCCTGCACAGGAGCCATCATGTCTGTCTTCTTTGCTGAGATAAGAGTCTTGTTATCTTTAGTCCCCGCTGGCCGCCGACTGCAGTCCCCCGTTCTCTGCCTCCTAAATAGCTGGGATTACATGTATACGGCGCCATGCCTAGCTCTATCGCAAGCGTGTCACCCTCTCAGCCTGTGGTAACAGTCACCAGGCTCCTTCAGGCAGGGTTTTATGGTCCCTCACAGAGGCAAGATTGAACAAATCACTGACTTGGGTGGTGGCTCAGTCCCAGCCCCTCCGGGATTGTAGGAGCAGCACTCCATCGCTGCTGTGCGTGTGTGCTTCCATGTGCATGTCCTCGTCCACGTTTGATGTCCTTATCTCACCTAGGAAACCGTAGCCAGTTCCCGGAAACTGCTTGCTAAGCAGGCTGGGGTAGAGGAAGACTGTAGGAGCTTCTGGTTTGTAGTATCATAGCATGTGTGAGTTAGAACTGGAGGCCAGGCTGGGGCTGGAAGTTCCCGCCCCGCCTCATCGTTGCTCCTTTGGCAGCCAGACCCTCTGTAATCCACCTCAGGCCTCTGCACACGCCATGCTGGCAGCTGCTGTGCTGACTCAAGATGCACACTCAAGGGCTGGGAAGGTGGCTCAGTGGTAGAGCGCTTGCCTTGCATGCCTGAGGCCCTGGGTTCGATTCCTCAGCACCACATAAGCAAAAAGAAAAAAGCTGAAGTGGCGCTGTGGCTCAAGTGGTAGAGTGCTAGCCTTGAGCTGAAGAGCTGAGGGACAGCGCCCAGGCCCAGAGTTCAGGCCCCACGACTGGACCAAAACAAACAAACAAACAAACAAGATGCACACTCACTCTGTCACCTGGGAACCCCAAGGTGTAGATGCTTTCGTGTCAGGAACCAGAGTGAAGACCAAATGTAAATTTCTGTATGATGTATGCATGTATGTTTATTCATATATATGTAGTAATATGAATACTTGACCCTCAGAATTATTGAGTATTAGTGGTTCCAGGTACCTTTTTGGGTGCTCAAGTTCCTTTTATAACATTTGTATATAACTTATTCTTATCCTCTGATGTACTTTCTTTATAATGTGTGTGTGTGTGTGTGTGTGTGTGTGTGTGTGTGCATGTGCTGGTCCTGAGGCTTGAATTCAGGAGCTTTTTCTCCTCAAGGCTAGTGCTCTACCACTTGAGCCATGGCTCTACCTCCAGCTTTTTGGTTGTTACCTGGAGATTATGCTCATGGACTTTCCTGTCTGGGCTGGCTTAAACTGTGATCTTGAGCTTGAAGCCTTTTGGGTAGCCAGGATTACAGGTGTGAGTCACCAGCGCCAGACTCCTATTTTTGGCAACACTGGTATTTGAACCTCTTGAGATACACCTGTGGACCTGCACACTCTTGTGTGTGTGTGTGATCTGGGTTATTTTTCAGATAATCTCTTGCTTTTGTTTGGCGCCAAAGTCCCCTTACCCCTAGATCCTGCCTCGCTGGGATTACAGTAGTGGCCATGTCTGTCTGGTTTGCTGAGATAAGTCTTGTTAACTTTAGTCCCAGATGGCCTCAGACTGCATTCCTTCTCCCCCCTTCTCTGCCTCCTGAGTAGCTGGGATTAGAGGTGTACGGCATCATGCCTAGCTCTATCAAATACTTTAAATCATCTCTGCATTTCTTAGAAGATCTGAAACAATGTAAATGCCATGTGGAGAACCACGCTACTGAATCGTTTAGAGAATAAGTACAGGAATAAAAAGTCTGTACATGTTCAGTATAGATAGATCTTCTTTGCTTTCTGCCCCTGAAGCCTCTTCTGCCACTGCAATGCTGATTCGTACTCTAACTTTAGGGAATGTCTTAATATTTAGTATGGCAAGTCTCCCCTTCGTTTTCTCTTTAATGTTGACTTGTCACTTTTCAGTCTTTATATTCCTATATAAAGGTTTGTAATACCTAAAAAACTAACGTACATTAATTTGAAATTACACTAAGCTCAAAGATCAACTCATTTTTAATGTCACTTCTGGGTCTTAAGGATTCTCTCTGCACTTGTTTACAATGGGTTATGTGTTTTAGGTTAGCATTCAACATTTCTTCCATGGGCTGGGAAGGTGGCTCAGTGGTAGCGCGCTTGCCTTGCATGCCTGAGGCCCTGCCGGAAGTGGCGCTGTGGCTCAGTGGTAGCGCGCTTGCCTTGCATGCCTGAGGCCCTGCCGGAAGTGGCGCTGTGGCTCAGTGGTAGAGCGCTAGCCTTGAGCTGAAGGGCTGAGGGACAGCGCCCAGGCCCAGAGTTCAGGCCCCACGACCGACAGCAACAAAAGAAATGCATCTAAAGTTTCTCCAGGTGACCTACGTGCGTTTCCTTCGAAGGCCGTCTGAGCAACCGCTGAGCTCTAGAGTAATTCTTCTTTCTCCGGAAGTGCCGAGGGTTTTCCCACAGGACAGTCCGGTCGCTCTGTTGGCCGTGTCTGTGGGGAGGCTGCGCCTGCGCACCCGGGAGCCACCGCCCACACCGTGTACGTGCTGAGGCTGCGCCTGCGCACCTGGGAGCCACCGCCCACACCGTGTACTGCGCACCCAGGGGCCACGGCCCACACCGTGTACACTGGTATGTACGTGCGGAGGCTGCGCCTGCGCACTCAGGGGCCATCGCCCACACCGTGTACATGCGGAGGCTGCGCCTGCGCACCCAGGGGCCACCGCCCACACCGTGTACACTGTGTACGTGCGGAGGCTGCGCGTGCGCACTCAGGGTCCATCGCCCACACCGTGTACATGCGGAGGCTGTGCCTGCGCACCCAGGGGCCATGGCCCACACCGTGTACACTGTGTACGTGCAGAGGCTGCGCCTGCGCACTCAGGGGCCATCGCCCACACCGTGTACATGCGGAGGCTGTGCCTGCGCACCCGGGAGCCACTGCCCACACCGTGTACGTGCGGAGGCAGCGTCTGCGCACCCAGGGGCCACGGCCCACACCGTGTACACCGTGTACGTGCGGAGGCTGCGTCTGCGCACCCGGCGGCCACCGTCGACCCCGTGGACAGCGCGTACGTGGGGAGGCTGCGCCTGCGTACCCGGGGCCCACCGCCCACACTGTGTGCAGCGTGGACGTGGGGCTGGCTGGATTTGCCCGCAGCCTCTGGGAGGCAGGAGGCCTAGTGGTGAGCTGACCAGCCTGGGCCGAGGCTCGCGTGGAGCCGGGCGGGTGGCGTCCAGCGGGGATGCCAGGCCGGGCCTCTCTCCTCCGGCGCCTGGCCGCGCGGCAGGGCGGAGGGCGGACGGGCCGGCAGGGACGCTGGATGAGAGGTCGTGGCCTCCTCGGGAGGTCCGGTGGGGGAGGCCGAGAGGCCGTGGTGGGGGCACGGTGTGCCGGACCCTCCTTCAAGTTCTCCGGACCGCTCAGGCGGGGCCGGCGCCGCCCCGCGCCCCTCCCCGTACCCCGCCCGCCGCGCCGCCCAGCCAGGCCGGACCGGGCGGGCGGCTGGGCTCCGGCCCCAGACATCTGCCGCTGGAATGCGGCAGAAATCCTCGCACTTCCTGGGCTGGCCGGGAAGGGATCGGGTTACCTCCGGGGCTGACGGAGGGGCCCCAGCCGGCGGCGGGCGGGGCGAGGTCCAGGGGGCCCGGCGGAGGGGAGGCCCGAAGGAGGGGCCTCTGGGGCGCCGGGGCCGGGGTGGGGGGGCGCGGGAGGAGGGGCCGCGGCCGGGGCCGGGGCCGACGCCGGGCCGGAGGGGGCGCGGGAGGCCAGAGGCCGCCGGACCACGGCGCCGAGACCGCGGCCTCCGTGCCGGAGCCGCCCGGGAGACGTCGATCCGCGGGGCGCGTCCGGACCGAGCGCCCCCTTCGTCGCCCCCCCCCCCGCCCCCCAGGACGCCCCGCCGCCTCCCGGGCCCCCGCGCCCGCCCCGCCCCTTCCCGCCCTCCTCGCCCGCCCCTCGGCCGCCTCCGCCGCCGCGCGCCATTCTCCGCGTCGCCCGTCCCCGCGCGCCCCGGCCATGGAAGGCCTGGTCATCCGTCCCGCCAAGGGCTACCGCGTGGTGCTGCTCGGCAGCGTGGCCGTGGGCAAGACGGCACTGGCCACACAGTTCGCGTGCGGCACCTTCCCGGAGACGTGCGAGCCGTCGGTGGAGGACCTGTTCAGCAAGGTGATCGAGGTGAACGCGGCGCCCGCGCTGCTGGAGATCGTGGACACGGTGGGCGCCGAGCACCTGGTCACGCTCAAGGACCTGTACATCCGCAACAGCGACGGCTTCGTGGTGCTGTACAGCGTGAGCAGCGAGGCCTCGTTCGCGGCGGTGCGGCCGCTGCGCGCGCGCATGGGGCAGCTGCGGGGCGCGCGCGCGGTGCCGCTCGTGCTGGTGGGCACCAAGGCCGACCTGCACGCCGAGCGCCAGGTGCCCACGGCGCGGGGCCGCGCGCTGGCCCGCGAGTGGCGCTGCCCGTTCCTGGAGGTCACGGCCAAGAGCAAGCTGATGGTGGACCGCGTGTTCACGCAGGTGGTGCGCGAGATGGAGGCCCTGGCCCCGCGCGCCGCGCCGCCGCGCCTCCCGCCCCGCGCCCCGCAGACGTGGCTGCCCGAGCGCTACATCGGCTAGGGCCCAGCCCCGCCGCCCCGCACCCGGACGGACCGCCGCCTCCTCGCCCCGTGCCGCCCTTCGGTTCTTCCATGGGAGTCGTCCCTGGACTTAAAATTCAGGCCGCCCCGGATGACGCCGACTCGAGGCCCGGGGCTCCGCGGCACCACGTCGGCCTGGCGGGGTCCTGGACGGGCGTCGGGTGTTGGGGGAGGCCGGGGCGGGGCCCGCCGCAGCCGGGCCGCCTTGCTGTCTGTCACGTACCGCGTGGGCTTCTGCGCCCGTGCATTGGGATTAAAGTGGCCCCGCAGCCGAGCGCTTCCGCGTGTCTCCTTTGCCTCGCGTCCTCCGAACCTGCCCCCCCCCCCGTCCTCGCCGCCCGCCCCCGCCTGCCGGGGGTCTTTTGCTTTCCTTTTCCCAATCGAGATGTGTTGTCCGGACACCTCCGTAGCCCCCGGGGCTGCACCGGGCTGGACGGAAGTACCGGGGCGCCCTCGTTATCTAACACAGTTGGGAGGGGAGGGGTCACCCGGCCTTTCAGGGCCCCCGGCCGTCAAAAACCCCCCAAACCCTCCAAGCCGCCGGGCCGAGGCCGTTCCGTGAGGAGCACGGCCTGTGGCGTGGGGGTCTCCGTTTGCCTGCGGGGGGGTGGGCGCTGGCGGGGCCCGGGGCTGGGGAGGGTGGGCGCTGGGGGGGGCCCGGGGCTGGCAGGGGCGGGGGGGGTGGGCGCTGGGGGGGGCCCGGGGCTGGCAGGGGCGGGGGGGGGGTGGGCGCTGGGGGGGGCCCGAGGCTGGCAGGGGCGGGGGGGGGGTGGGCGCTGGCGGGGCCCGGGGCTGGGGAGGGTGGGCGCTGGGGGGGGCCTGGGGCTGGCAGGGGCGGGGGGGTGGGCGCTGGGGGGGGCCCGGGGCTGGCAGGGGCGGGGGGGGGTGGGCGCTGGGGGGGCCCGGGGCTGGGGGGGGCCTGGGGCTGGCTGGGGGGGTGGGCGCTGGGGGGGGCGGGGCTGGCAGGGGCGGGGGGGGTGGGGGCTGGTGGGGGGGGTGGGCGCTGGGGGGGCCGGGGGGCGCTGGGCGGGGGCGGGGGGGGGAGGGGGCGGCCTGCCTGGCCGGGACTCGGCTCCTCCCGGTGGGGCTGCGCCCCTCCCCGCGCCTGGAGACCAGACAAGCCCTCGGGGGAGTCAGGCTCAGACCCCGGCCGGCCCAGCCGCTGCCGTGCTCCCCGCCCCGGGCCGCCCGCGGCCCCGAGGCCTGGCCGCACAGGCCTCCCGCCCCCAGGCAGCCATGTCTGCTTTGGATTTGGGGTTGACCTCAGATACGCGGGTCCGTGCGCAAATCCACTCAAATGGATTAGAGACCTCAACATCAAACTGAAACTAGTGCAGGCCAGAGTAGCCAGACACTGGACCGGAGGCACAGCAGGGACTCGTCAAACAGGACTACCTAAAATAACAAGCCTCTGCGCAGCCGGAGACATCGCAGCCAGGCCAGAAAGACAGCCAAGGACGGGGAAGAACTGCTTACCCGCAATCTATCAGACAGGGGGCCAATAGCCAGTATACACAGGGAACTCGAGACGAACCCCCCAAACCTAAGGAGCCAATTATTAAAAGGGCGAGGGAACAAAGACTTCCCAGAAGAAAAGATAAAAATGGCAAAGAAACTAATGAGATGTTCACCATCCCTGGTTTAAAGGAAATGCAAATAAGACCGCCCTGAGATATCAGAGCTGAGGGCAGGCCCACACGGCCAGCCCAACCCCCTCCCGAGTGGGGCGCCACCCTCTGGGTGGGACCCTCCCAAGTGGGACGGCCTTGAGGCCTGCTCCGGTGAGCCCCACGTAATAAGAACCCCCCCTCCCTCCACGGTCAGTTGCTTCAGCCCCTCCTGAGGCTTAGGGGCCGCAGTAACTCCAGGGCAGCGAGTCCTGCCGGGTCCCACAGGGTGCCGGCCCAAGGAGGGGTTGGGTGACCCTTGGGCTAGCCTGGAGGGTGTGTGTGTGTGTGTGTGAGAGAGAGTCTATAATCTTTCACACGTCTGGACCCTGGCTGTGTGGTCACCCCAGCTAGCGCCTGGGGGAGCCCTGAGTGTGGAAGTGGCCGTTGGAGCCATGCTGGCCCCTCCAGCTGCGCCCCGCGGTGGGCAGGCGTGAGGGCTGGCAGGCTGGCCCTGGCCCGGGAGCTGCGGCTCCTGCGTGTGCCACCCAGGCTGCGGAGCCGGCTAGGGTTCTCTCGGAGAGTTTGAAATGTTTGCTCACCTCTTGTGCACAATGCCTGCTGCTCTGGCGGCTTTTGGGGTGGTGTGGCCTGCCCTTCCCTCCCGTGGTTTGTGGGTGTCCCTCTCCCATCCCCTGTGGCTGGGCTGGCCCTGCCGAGCTCTTCTCAGACTCTGGCTGTGACAAATTAGGTCACAAGAAGGCCAACTGCTGCTCTCCCCTCTGCGTCCTTCTCAGAGCCGGGTGCAGAGAAAAGAGTCCTGTGACCAAGGCCAGCAAAGCCAGGGGCCAGCAACAGTGCGGGGTGAGCTGGGAGAGGAGCCCTTCCCAGCGGGGTGGGGCGGGGTGTCAGCTGACCCCTTGTCTTAGCCCCGCTCTCTCCATGAAGCTCCTGACCTTTAGGAAAGTGAGAGGCTTGTTGTTTTACACCGCTCAGGTGGAGGCAGTTTGTTCTTCAGCAGTAAGTTCTTAATGTAGCTATGGCACACCTGACGAGAGAGCATGACCCTACAGATACATGGTAAAGCTGGAGTCCCTCTGGGTTCTGCGGAGGGTGGTGACTAAAAGCTAAAGCACCTTGGCACCACACCCAGCTTACTACTTGAGATGGGGTCTCTAACTTTTTGCCCAGCTTGGCATGATTCTCCCACTTTACTTCTTGAACATCTGGGATTACCAGCATGAATCGCTGCTCTTGGCCTGACAACCAGATTTCGAGGATGCTGGTGGGAGTAGAGGTTCGGAAGGAAGTGAGGCTGAGTTGTAGGAAGCCGGAGGACCTGGTTCCAGGTTGGGATGGGGGAGCTCAGCAGCGCTGACTTCCAGAAGCAGGTGGCCGGCCAGTGCACTGAGGTTCCTCCTGGCAGAGGGCTAAGGCCAGGTAATTCTTGCCTAGAGCAAACAATGGGGAACCTTCACTAGAGAATGAGGGGTCCCCTCAGTCCCCCAGGCTCTACATAAAATCTCAGGTCCTTAAGAGCCACAGGGGAGAAGCACTTGAGCACGCCTCACACAACGGCGTTTCAAAGGTGAACGTTTTTAGTAACACTTACTTTAGTCTAACAAGTGAAAGAAGAGCTAGAAAGAAATGCTTCCTGCGTCCCATGCAGGGGGTGGGAGTAAATGGACCAAAATGGCAGCTGCTCTCTGCTGCCCCTCATTCTGAGTTGGGGAGCATGTTTTGTGGTAGACTCTAGCAACCCCAACCCTTAGGGAAAAAAATGCAAAAATCCCTGGTATGGCTCATGCGGTAGAGTACCTGTCCAGCGAGCACAAAGCTTAATACTGCTCTCTAAAAGAGAAAGGGGGAGGGGGGACTGGCTTTCAAGCAAATCAAATGGAGCTGAGGGTTTGGTTATAAACCTTTCATGAAAACCTTAGAAAGATCAAAGGTGATACAGTGAGTTGTTTCTTTGTTTTTTGCATTTTCCCGTTTTGGGGGCTAGTGCTGGGGCTTGGACTCAGAGCCTTGTGCTGTCCCTGAGCTTTTTTGATCAAGGCTAGTGCTCTACCATTTAAAATGGTCTGCTTCCGCTTATTTGGTCATTGATTGGAAACCAGAGAGTCTCATGGATCCCTCCCACCCCCTCAGCTTTGAACAGAGATCCTCAGATCTCAGCCTCCTGAGTAGCTGGGATTACAGGCCTGAGCCACCAGCTTCCACAGTAATTCTTTTGCTGTGTCCCAGAGGTTCCTTTGCGATGTGTTTTCATTTTCCTTGAATTGTAGGAACTGATTTCTTCTTTAATTTGTTCTGTGACCCAGGTGTTAGTAGCATGCTGTTCAGCCTCCATGTGTTTGAGTAATTTCTGCAGTATGCTTCGTTGTTGAGAACTGGTTTGATTCCATTATGGTCAGATAGGATGCAAGGGATTGGGCCAATCCTCTTGTATTTGTGTAAATCCTTTGTGTGAATTATGACATGATCTATTTTGGAGAATGTTCCATGGGGTGCTGAGAAGAATGTGTATTGGGGCATTGCTGGGTGGAAAACTCTGTAGGTGTCTGTTAGGCCCATTTAGGTTACAATGTCACTTAGTCCAGAGGCTTCTTTGCTTGTCTTTTGTTTGGTTGACCTGTCCTTTGGTGAGAGTGAGGTATTAAAGTCTCCCACTTTTGTTGTTGTTGTTAGTCATGGGGCCTGACCTCGGCCTGGGCGCTGTCCCTCAGTTCTTCAGCTCAAAGCTAGCACTCTACCACTTGAGCCACAGCGCCGATTCTGGCTTTTTCTGCTTGTCTCCCAATGTTACTGTGTTTGCGTCCATCTTGTTCTGTAAGTAAGTATGAAAGTGTTTAATGTATTTAGGTGTTCCATTGTTTGGTGCACAGATGTTGACCACTGTGATTTCCTCTTATTTCATTCCCTTTATTAATATGTAATGACCTTCCTTGTTTTTTTGTACTGATTTTAGTCAGAAGTCTATTTTATCAGGTATCAGTATGGCGATCCCTGCCTTCTTGCAGGATGCATTTATGCCGGGAAGATCTTCCCTCCCGTCACTCAGAGTTTGTTTTTATCTTTGGCTGTGAGATGCGTCTCTTGGAGACAACAAATGGATGGATCTTGTTTTCTGATCCACCCTACAGGTCTTTTTTTCTCTTTCTCTCTCTTTCTTCCTTTCTTTCTTTCTCTCTTTCTTTCTCTCTTTCTTTTTGTCAATAGTGGGGCTTCACTCTGGGCCTGGGCGCTGTCCCTCAGCTCTTCAGCTCGAGGCTGGCGTTCTACCACTTGAGCCATAGCACCACTTCCGGCCTTTTCTGCTTATGTGGTGCTGAGGAAATCGACCCCAGAGCCTCATACATGCGAGGCAAGCGCTCTACCACTGAGCCACCTTCCCAGCCCAGTTCTTTTTCTTTTGATTGGTGAATTGAGTCCATTAATATTTATGGTTATTATAGAGAGATGCATTGTTTCCTGCCATTTTCTTGCTTTCTTGCATTTTGCTTCTTTCCTTTTCCTGTGCTTACTAAATTGATCTCCTAGTGATTTCTACCTGATGTGGTTCCCTGATTTGATTATTTTCTTTGGGTTGTATTCCTCCTTTTAGTATTTTTTGTAGTCCTGGCTTATTGTTCATGAATTCCTTTAATTTTTCTTTGTTATTAAA